AACATGTCTCAGATCAAACATGTCTCAGATCAAACATGTCTCAGATCAAACATGTCTCAGGTCCAACATGTCTCAGATCAAACATGTCTCAGATCAAACATGTCTATGGTCCAACATGTCTCAGGTCCAACATGACTCAGTTCAAACATTTCTATGGTCCAACAAGTCTCAGGTCCAACATGTCTCAGATCAAACATGTCTCAGATCAAACATGTCTCAGATCAAACATGTCTCACATTAAACATGTCTCAGATCAAACATGTCTCAGATTAAACATGTCTCAGATTAAACGTGTCTCTGTATTTGTCAGGTTCCTCTCCTGTAATCGCCTGAGTTCTTCTGTAGAATCACAGAAAAAGGCTGGAGACAAACATGGTGGTAATTACAGGGTTTGGACGCGGAGCCTGATGCGTTCTGATAAACACTAAAGAACAAAACAAGAGTCCGCAGKTTAGATAAGTGTCCCGTGAATCCTGCGCTCTGATTGGACGGGCYGTGCGTGGCAGCGTTAATGTCCTCAGTGTGAGACGTCTGAGTGTTTGGGGACTCTGCGGTGAGCCGGCCCATCTGAGAGCAGTGGGAGACAGACACACAACAGACTCACATCAACCATCGTCTGATTGGCCCAGCGGGGCGGCGAGGGACGTCCACCGACAGCAGAGAGAAAAATAAGACAAAGATGGAGGAGGTTTGATCGTCTTTGATTCTTTAGATCAACACCTGAGACAGAAGCTGAACTCACAGAGGTCTACAGAAATACAAAACCCACTTCCTGTTCCTTCATCTGGAGCTCAGGTCTGTGCTGGACATGACTCTCAGCTATTACCACATCAGCTTGATCWCACTCATTTATGAGGTCACATGTTGATCAGCTGTGGCGGCCATCTTGGATCAGGTGGACTAATCAGAACAGAACATGGTTACTTCCTGGACACTTAATAAAAGTTTTTCAGCTCGCAGCTCGTTCTGCAATTTTTGTGTTATTTCAACAATTTATACATCAAAATGTCCGGCTCCTTCAGGACATTTCGGCTATGACTTTAGGTATTTCAGCAATTTATACTTTTTGTGATATTTAGCTTTCTTGTCTGATTTTAGTCCTTGGAAATGAATGGAGTTGTCTTCAGTAAAACACAGAATTATTACTGTATTTCTTTACTTTATGTTCTGATTCTGACATTTTAACTTCTTTGTAGTAATTTTAGCTTCCTTCAGCTCCTATTTGGTTTATTTGAGCTTTTATATGTTTTTTAACTATTATTATGGCCTTTCTGCTTTTCTTCTGTAATTTCCACTTTTTTGAGCTTCTTTCAGCTATTTTATTCTTTCTTTGTTTTTTTCAGMTGCTTTCTTCTAATTTCAGCTGTTTTCTGGTTTTAGCTACGTTTAGCTAATTTGAGCTTTATGCAGCTAATTTCACCTTTTTGTGATAATTTCAGCTTCTCCCTGCTTAATGTAGCCAACATGAGCTCTTCCTGTTTAATTTCAGCTCCATGTTTTTACAGATTTTTAGGCTATTTTCAGTGTTTTTAGCCAATCAGCTAAAATCTTTCAGCATTAAGTATTCACACTGAATTTTCACAGGAAGTGTAAATTCTTTAGTTAAAATCCTTTTAGTTACTGAGATGTTTTGCTAACAGAATAAAAACACAAATATTAATGAAAACTGGGACCTGGTCCAGTTTTCTGGTTCCGTCTGCAGAACTCTGACCCGGTTAACTCAGGTTCTGTTGACCCCAGAGGGGAAACTGTTCCAGCAGATAATTACATTGTTCCAGAAGGAAAACTGAAATGTTAAAGTGATAAAAAAAAAAAACGAGAGGATAAAACAAAACTAAAACAATAAAAGTTTTTAATGAAGCAGATTGTTTTATTGCTCGTTAAAGGAGCTGACAGGACAGGAATTAATCTGCACACAAATCGACATTTTCCTATATTCAATATGACAGATATGACTGATTAGTTCAGTGGGCGGACTCATCAATAACCTGCCTGTCAATCAAACCTGACCTTTAGTTGAAAGGTGATGAATGAACCAGAACCACGGGCCGATCCGATGCCAGCCCTTCAATCCATCAGAACCTCTACAGTGGAAGGCTGAAGGAGCCGAGGTCGGGTTAGTTTGGGTCAACATCAGAACATGTCGACCCAAACAGAACAAAAACAAATCAAAGATGAAGACTCATTAAGAGAAACAGGTCTACCTCCATCCTCCTCCAGATGTGCAGGTCTTTGTCCGGACCCTGAACGTCCTCCAGCAGCTGCTGCACCAGAGACGCACATCCACTCCTGTCCACAGGGGGCGCTGTGAGCTGAAGACCCCCATCAGTAGACCCCCTGCCCTCCTCCTCCTCAGACTGCAGATCACTCAGAGGACCAGATTCTAGACTTTCATCCAGCGAAGGAGCAACATCACTGGAGGAGGAGGGGCTTAGGCGGCTGGCCGCCGTCCGTGTGGAGGGACGCTGAGGGGCGGAGCATCGTTAAAGACGGATTCACTCAGAGATGGTGGGAGGGCTCAAAAACAGGTGTGGTCTTACCTGCAGTGGGGGAGGAGACGGAGAGTCGTCACCGCTCTGTCCCACGCTGCTAACGTTGTCCCGGTTCTCGGTTCCGTCCCAGTCTGTGTTGAGCTCCGTCAGCTCCCAGTCGTCCACATCCTGCAAGGCCTTCTGGGTAAATCCAGTGTTTGCCTGCATACATTTACCACACGTAGTAAAGTACAGGGTTCATCTCAAACTATTTACTGTAAAACAAGAAAACTGTGAGAACGCTGAGGTAGCTAAAAGCAGCTAAAAGTAGCTAACAACTATGCTGCTAAAGTAGCTTAAAAGCAGCTAAAAGTAGCTAACAACTATGCTGCTAAAGTAGCTAAAAAGCAGCTAAAAGCAGCTAAAAGTAGCTAACAACTATGCTGCTAAAGTAGCTAAAAAGTAGCTAAAAAGCAGCTAAAAGCAGCTAAAAGTAGCTAACAACTATGCTCTACTACACTGTGCATCCTAAATGCACAAAAGAACGTTACCGCAGATCCTTCCTCCCATCAGCTGTTAGACTCTATAACATCACCGCTCCCAACAAACTCAACAAGCATCCATGTTTGTGTTAGCACATTAAACAGCTCTACCTCTCAGTCATCACATAAATAATGATCTGTGGTAATTGTACATCTTTTTTTCCTGTACTACAACACTAACTTAATGACTTAGTTCGACTCAATTTAACAGATCTATTTTTTTATTGTAATTTTGTATTTCTCTGCACAGTATCTGGCTTTTATTTTCATTTTTATATAATTTCAACTGGTAGTCCGGTACAGTAATTATTAGTCTTATTTTTATTTTATGTTTATTTTTATTGTTACTTCTTTAAATCTATTGTTATTGCTACAGTTGATATTGTCACACAGCAATATACTGTTTCTGTGGATGATGTATGTACCTGCTGCTGCTATTACACCTGAATTTCCATGCGTGGGACAATAAAGGCTGTTTCTATTCTATTCTATTCTATTCTTTTAGCTATCCGTAGCATAAGAAGAAACCGAGCCAGCTGCTGAAGCAGATATAAAAACCAAGGTTTTTGAAAGAACTCTCTGCGTGTTTCTATGGGAAATATTTTAAAAAGTATAAAAGTAMCAGCATCTCCTAAATGARCTGGATGTTTTATAAATKAGCTAAATGTTATAAACATGTTATAACATATGTTATAAACAGCTGATTCAACATTCACACTCTTACAGTCAGGRGTTTTTACTGACCAGAGGGATGGACTGGGTCAGATTCTCCAGTTTCAGAGCCAGCATCTCAGTTTTATGGAGCTGAGCWGGAAGAGCCAAGAACTCTTCTGAGCCGTACCAGTGCTGCTCGTCCAGCCCAGTTCTCAACGGGTTCTGGGAATGAGATCAAACAGGTAATGAGGTTTCAAACCGACAAATAAACAAACTACAGAAATGTTGGAGTCACAGGTGTTCCTCATGGACTAGTTCTGGGGCCTCAGGTGTTCTGCAGGGTTCTGTTCTGGGGACTCAGGTGTTCCTCACGGATTAGTTCTGGGGCCTCAGGTGTTCTACAGAGATCTGTTCTGGGGACTCAGGTGTTCTACAGGGATCAGTTATGGGGCCTCAGATGTTCTACAGGGTTCTGTTATAGAGGTTCAGGTGTTCCTAATGGATTAGTTCTGGGGAATCAGGTGTTCTACAGAGATCTGTTCTGGGGACTCAGGTGTTCTACGGGGATCTGTTATGGGGCCTCAGGTGTTCTACGGGGTTCCGTTATGGAGCCTCAGGTGTTCTACGGGGATCTGTTATGGGGCTTCAGGTGTTCTACGGGGATCTGTTATGGGGCCTCAGGTGTTCCTCAGAGATCGGTTCTGGAGATTCAGGTGTTCTACAGGGATCTGTTATGGAGCCTCAGGTGTTCTATGGGGATCTGTTATGGAGCCTCAGGTGTTCTACAGGGATCTGTTATGGGGTCTCAGGTGTTCCTCTGAGATCAGTTCTGGGGCCTCAGTGTTCTACAGGATTCTGTTATGGGGACACTTTTATTTGATCTATCTATATCAAACTACTGTATAACTTTTATTTTTATGCTGATGATGCAGTGTTGTTGCATCCTCATCTTATGAGAGCATTTTCAGCATCAATCACTTGATTATTGATGTCATTAATGATCTTTAAACAGGTGGTTTCTAAATCTAACTTCAATTTTAATTATTTAGAATAAAACTGATGAAGAAAATCCTTTAAAAACTGAAATAACTGGTTTGTTAAATGAAAAAAACTTGTAATGCTTCTTAGAGTGAGATACTGTTCTAAATGATTCTAAACAACATGGATGTAAAATAATACATTCATTTTATTTACTGATCAACTTCTATAAAAATACGTAAACTTCTTAATAATAATTGTCTATAAAAGTTCATTAGAACGTGTGTTCAGAACCACAGAACATGTCCTTTAAATATAAAGAAAATACAATCTTACCACTGCTTTGAAACATCTTCACAGGTAAAAACCAACTTTAAAGAAAAGATTTGGATCATCTAAACCCTGCAGATTGTTTTACTTCATTAAAAGAAAAACTGTATTTAAATGAGAAAACATTTTTCACCTGGTCTACCTGTTGCTTCACAATCCAGACTCTGGTCTTGCCGGGACACAGCTGAGGATCTGATTCTTCTCCAGACGCCTCCAGATCTGAGGAGAGGTTCTGCTCCCTGATGGGGGAGGGCAGGGGGGAGTCAGAGTCCCCCATGCTGGGTGTGTGTGTCCTCCTGTGTGTCCTCTGCATTTGGTTTGATATTTCATCCTGAGACTTCAGGGGGGCACCAGTGCAGGGTCTTCCCCCGGGTGAGGTCTTGTGTTCAGGCAGACGTCTCTGTGATTTCCTGCCTGGATGTTCTTCATGAGCAGAGACCACCTGCTGGTTCTTCACTTTGTTCAGAACCTGGTCAGGAAGAAAGACTGAGGTTATTAAAGTGTTTTAACAAATACACATGGCCTCAGGAGAACTGTTTCAACACGAGTTTAAAAACGAATTATCTTTTCACATATTTAAGTCAATTAAAGATTGTTCATCCATGATTCAGTCAACTCGTTATAAAAAACAAACTCAGAATTAATCAGCTTCTCCTTATTTCTCCATTAAACTACATTTTAAATATCTTCCAATAAAAACACTGTTAATATTTAAATTTATTGATCTTGTTCATTGAACATGTGATGTGAGTATCAGTCACATGGAGGCAGGGCTTAAAAGC